ACCCAGGGAAATCAGGCAGTCCTGGGCTTGAATCCTGGCTCTGCTTCTCACTTGTGTTCTTGGGCAAGTCACTAAGCTTCTCCAAGCCTTAGTTTCCTCCTCTGTAAGATGATAATAATAGCAACTTAATCTTCCACAGTTGTCGCAAGCATTGAATTAAATAATGCATGGCAAACTCTAAGGATGGTACCTACACATACTGAGTACTCAGGAAACAGTCACTATTATTTTCCATTTGTCATTGTGTGTCACTTTGAGATGCGCTTCTGTCCTAATGTGAGGATAGGTAGGGCCCCTTCTGTTGCTCTGGAACATTCACAGGTTAATTCAATGAATTAATTGCTCTAGCAAGGACCCAAGCATCCTGTGTTCTCCATCATACTCTTGACTTAATATCCTCTTCTTCCACAGATGCAAACATCAGCTCGAATCAGCCTTCCCGGGCTCTGTCTAATTATAAAATGAATACTTATTGAGCACTTAACTGTTTACCAAGCACCATTCTAGGCACCAGGAAAGCAATAGTGGACACAGTAGATGAGTCCCCACTCTTCTAGAGTCCACAATGCCAGTGGGAAACAGACAATAAAGAAATAAATACATGTTTGTCAGGCAGTGGAAGGCACTACCAAATAAATACAGCAGGAAAGGGGGGTAGACATGACAAGGGGTGCTATCTCATAGAGAGTGGTCTAAGGGGACCTGAGCGGATAATACGAACACAGTGAAGGAACAAGACACGCAAGCATGTGAGTAAAGGGTGTCCTGGGCAGAGAGAACCACAAGTGCAAAGGCCCTGAGGCTGAGGCAGGAGAATGGGGAGCATTTGAGGAACGGCATGGGGCTAGCAGAGCTGAAGCAGAATGAGGGAAGAGGTGAGAGGAGATGTCACTGAAGGGTTTCAGGAAAGAGAGACAGAGCATGAGCAGGGGAGGGTCAGAGAGAGGGTGACACAGAATCTGAAGCAGGCTCCAGGCTCTGAGCTGTCCGCACAGCCCAACTCAGGCCTCGAACCCGCTGACTGCAGGATCATGACCTGAGCCGAAGTTGGACGTTTAACTGACTGAGCCACCCAGGTGCTCCGACGTGAGGTGACTTGTAAAAGGATGAGTCTGGCAGCTGTGTAGAGAGTAGGTTATGAGGTCAAGGCAGACTGTGTTGAGACCCATTTCACCTTCTTTACCTTCCAAGACAGAAACTTGCATCCTGATTTTAAAAAACTCACTTCCACGTCCCGCTGTAAGAATAAACTGAAAGAACAATGGCCGCAAAGCAGACTTATAGAGAAGATAAAAAAGACCATAAAACCGAGAGGGAGGCTCGCCCTCAATAATGCTTTATCTAAGCAAGATTGTCCTGAGTGATAGGAGCTCTCCACCATGTTTGTGCTGAATCCTGTTTGTCCAGTACGCTTCTCAAACTGGAGATTGTCAGTAGCAGAAATCCCATCTTGTCCTCCGTGGGAGATTCCAAAAACAACTTAGGAAGTTATGAAATAAATTGCTTGAAACAAAAACTAAAAGAGGCGGGGTGGGGGGGAAGGTCAAGTGATCATTTAACCTGGGAAAGAGAAAGTTAACAGGAAATTTAAACGTATTTTTCCGGGCAATGATTTGAAAAGCAGGGCTCTCCTCTCTGCTGCAGCTTTGAGGGAATCCAGTTGGACACCAGGCAGAGGGTGCTATCATGGTGGGAAATAAGGGGACCACAGGATACTGTGTAATTAGTCCAAGAAGACAGCACCCAGCATAAGGAAAGCACGCAGCAAATATCGAAGGAATGGATGTCGCTAGGGGAAAGACGATTCTACCAGGAAATAAGGGAGCGACGACAAACCTGCTGGGCCCCAGAACGTTTGCTCACAGTAAACAAGAGTGGGAAAGGAGGCAGAGCAGGGCCAAGGTTTAGCATTACAGCTGCCTGAAGGGGAGAGAGGTGCACGTGGGGCACTTCCCAGATGTGAATCCAAAGCATACCCTGGGCCTGAAGGCCACACCCCAAAAGCAGGTGGCCCAGAGTTCCCTCTTCATCTCTTCCAGGTTATATATGTGCATGTTTTTATCTAGACATTATTACCCTGATTGAAAACTCCTTGAAAGAATCGTCTAATTCTTATTAGAACATTGCCTAGGACAGCCGTTCATTAAACCAACTCACATTGGCTCATTAAACCAACATTTGTGAAATACCTACTATGTGACAAGCACACTGGCCTTGAAATATCAAAATGAATGAACACAGTCCCTGCCCTAGAAAATTGAAAAGCTAATAAATGGGTGGATGGATGGGTGGATGGGATAGACAGTAGATGGATGGATGGTGGATGACAGACAGGTGAATGGCAAATGGCAGTCCAAACTCTTTCTCCCCAAAACCTCTTCCTAGCTCATCTAGCTTCTCCTTTGAATTTTTGAGGACCAAATCCACAGCACTTCAAGTAAAAACCCCACAGATGCAAGAAACCATGGGCAGCAACAAGCCTGAGTCCTGGGGCTCCCACCAAGACCCTTCATGGCCACGGTCCTACACTCCCAGCCTTCTTTCCATGGGATAGAAAGATGACTGTTAAGTCTCTACCTTCAAACAGCAAAAGGGTGGAACAGGTGCTAAAATGGCTTCTTCTTGCTTGCTCCTTCTCTTTGCCCTGGCTGGACCCACTATTCCCTTGCCTCAAGGGCTAACAAAGGAGGACACAGCTCCCTTAGTTATTTCCCTAGATCGCTGTCTCATTAAACCTTGACCATCACTCAAGACGTGGTAGTGGACCTGCCTTATTCTGAGGTCCTCTGGTCCTAGAATCCAAAACCTGAGTCCCCATAGCAGGCAAAACCAAAATCCCACAAGGGGGCAACACTAAATAAATCCCTCTCTGTTATATCCTTCAGTTTTACTAGCAACAAGGCAGAAAGACTTCAGAAGCGCTGGCAAGAATTTTCTGAAACTGGGAGGGCTGGACTCAGAGCAGAGGGTCTTGGCAAAAGGGGAGGGACCTATGCAAATAAGGTCATTGCTTGTGAGCCTGGAGCCTGAGCCAAACCACCAGTGAGGTTGCAGCCAAGGCTGGAGGTCAAGAGCCTGAAGAGTGGGGGTCAAGGCAGATGAACCAAATAAAATGAGTTAAACATCTGCCAACCCACATTTGGGCCATTACAATGTGAGAGGTGGTTTTAGTACTCCTCACGTTAAAGCATTTGGGGGTGGGGTGGAGGGTGTGGAGACTGCAGGGCCTTCCAAAGGGTAAGTAATACAGTCTGTGTCTCCATAGCTCCCTGAACACAAAGAGCTGGCCAGATCCAGTTCAAAGATCTAAGAGAAGAGCGGTGCCTATCATCTCAGAATTGGACTTTCCCCACAAATAATAATCCCCTTTCAATAGCCAGCCAGCTCCAGACCTATGGCTCATGGCCAGGATCCACTCCCCTGGATTGTTCTGGTAACAGAGACCAACAGGAATGCTTCTCTTCTTGTAGGTGAACCAGGAGTCTTCTTTATAGAAATGAAACACAAACATACATAACCACTTTCCTGCAGAAACACATTTATTCAAAGACACACACGCACTTGACCTGAGTTTCCTGTGTAAACCATTATATCCAACTAAAGAGGCCCTGGAGGCCTAGCGGTGCCACTCAGGCTGGCTAGTCCCACACTTGACTTGCTCAGCGGGTATGAGAAATTCGGTAACCTGCCCCCAGCTCCTCAGGGTGGCCCATCACAACCCGAACCTTCCTGGTGGGTGAACTTGAGAAGTCCCTCCCTTACTGCTAACCTTTGACTCCTCCTCCCAGCTCCAGGAACTTACAAAAGAGCCAATTCAGCATGTTCCCAGGGGAGGGGCTCAGTGGTGGGAAGAAGTCAAAGACTTCCTGGTCTGACACATGGGGGTGAGCCCCAAGACAAAGGGGAGATTAGGGCAGGGCTGAAGAAGGACCAGCCTTTCCAGCCCAGGGAGCACAAGCCCCTGAGATTAACGCTTTGTTGCCTGCCCCTGCTGCCCTGAGCCCACCTCCAGGTCTGTGTGAAGGCCACTTGGGCAGGGACAGGCCCTGGGCAACCCGTGTGCCCTTCTGTCTGCACGCAGAAGGGCCCCATGGGCACTGTGCTGGGGAGACTGGAGTCTGAATGAATTGCCTGGCAGTCCGGGGTGGGAAGCTCCAACTGAGTGAGTGGCCAAGGGAATGAGTGCCTCCTGCATCTGCAGTCGGAGGGATTTAGGTCAGACCACACGGGGAACGGTGCAGGAAAATTATGCTCCTCGGCATAGCTTGAAATTGGTCCAATATAGAAACAGGGTGTCCACAAATGCTATAACCAGACCCTCACCTCTCACTGCCCTCACCTCATCTTCATTTCCTCATCTTCATTTTTCCAGGGCTGGCCCAATCAGGCAGCCTCGCCTTCTACCGCTCTAGCAGACCTGCCTCCCGTCCCCCACGTCCTCACCACTCAGGGACAGCGGTATGGACACAACCCTAGACAGAATCACCTGAGATGGGAAAGTGGGCAGGGCATGAAAGCTCTGCGAGAACAACATGCTTCCATCCCTCCATCCAGCAATCGGGATCTTGTTGATTCTTAGAAGAAGTTCCAGAAACCCTTGCTGGTCCAGTTAGATTGAGTCCCATGCGTGGAGTTTCATGAAAGTAGGGAGGCCTTGCTAGACACTGAGTATAAACTCTCCATAAGCTCCCTAACCTCTCGTTCCATATTCATTGGAGACCCCCTGACTGCCTCTCCCCTACCCCTTCCCTTCAGGCTCACTGCAGGCTCCACACTGAGATGGACCTGCTCTGATTGTCTTCCATCTTTGTGTACTTGTTGGTTGTTGGGAGTCTGTGCCCCTGTTCTGGAGCAGCCTTCAGACTCCACACACAGCACGTCTCTCCCAGATTAGATGATGGCCTCGATCTGTGCAGACATATCCCTCAGGCCCCAGCCTCCTTTGCTCCCACCTGAATTCTGGAGACTTCTCCCCAGGGAACAAGGACAATGACTCAGAGTGAATGACAAAAGCATTTTATTAGAGATTCACCCAAAATGGATAGAGGGGTGGAGAAGAGGTGGATGGGACCCTGAGCGGTTCCTGTCCTGACCTTGCAGGCCAGGTTGCTGCCAACTAACAGAGGAGTTTGGTCCTGATGTAGAGAGATATCCGGGGCCACGGGCTGGGAGGGGACATACGTGACCCTGATTAACCAGGAGACGAAACTCCTGGTTGTGTTCTCCTCTGCCTGTAGGAGGTGAAGAATCAGCTGACACCCCTTTCATTCCAGGTGGTAACCAGGACCAAACCGAGAGGAAGATACCAAACTCCAGGAGGGCAGAGTCCACACTGAGGTGGGACTCTGGGAAGATGAGCCCCAGAGAGGGAGGGTGGAGGCAGGGGTGAAAGAAGCACAGAGATACCAGGGCTGGGCCCGGCTGGGCTCAAGGGCTGCAGGGACCTTGTCTCCTCTATCGGTGGGACCTCTTGATCATGGTGCTGGTAGAGATGATCTTGTTGCCAGAACTGCCACAGACACCGCCACCAAACCCAAAGCCACTTCCGGAGCCAGAGCCAAAGCCGCTGCCCAGGCCAAACCCAGAGCAGCTTCCTAATCCTCCGCCGATGGTCCCAGCACTAGCGCCACCACCAACCACAGCTGCAGGAGAGACACAAAGGGTATGGTTATTCCAACAACACTGGCACCCAGGGGTCTCCCCCGAACCGGGGTGGACCAAAGGCCATGGAAGGGGTGGAAGGTACTTACAGATGCTCAGGGCACTCCGGCATTCTCCAGACATTCTGTGGGGGAGAGAAAGAGCAGTGAGTCACAGCAGAGCCCGGAGCCAGGCTCCGTGCAATGAGCGGGTCTCAAACACGTATCCCATCCTTATGTAGCCAAGTTAAAGGTCTGAATGTGAACCTGTTGCCCACACTGCCCTGCTTCATAACGCACCCATGCAGCACTGAAGCAGGTGGCCCAGCAGAGGTGCAAACTCAAGGCTCCAGAATATCTCCCTCCCTCACCTTCCCTCTCTGCCTTGCCCATCCCACCTGCACTCCTCGCCCTCCAGCAGCTTGCGGTAGGTGGCGATCTCCACGTCCAGGGCCAGCTTCACGCTCATGAGCTCCTGGTAGTCCCGCAGCATCCGGGCCAGCTCCTCCTTGGCCTTCTGCAGGGCGGCCTCCAGCTCTGTGCGCTTGCTGTAGGCATCTTTGAGGGCCAGCTCCCCACGCTGCTCTGCATCAGCCACGGACGCCTGCAGAGTCTGGCACTGTAGACAACGGCATCGAACAGGCAATCATCAGTGCCCTGATGTCAAGCCTTCTCCATCCGCCCCTCTGCTGTGCCAGCTTCACTTGGGCTAAGATGTCAGGATTCTGTCCTTCTCCCCACCTGTCCTATTCATACATTTCCTTTACTACCACCAGGGCCCGCCAACATCCCTACCAGACTGATTAGATAAAGATGAGCAAAAACCAACGAAAAAGAGCCAAGAAACCTTATTTACCAGGGCGTCATGTCAGGTTAAGTAGAACATTGCTAAGAAGACCTGAGTGTGGTTTACATAAGGAGTCACAAATCCCCTGCACACAAGCTTAGGATCTCCTGGCCTGCTACCAGATCTGTTTGTCTGCTACGGAGACACCTGCCCTGGCCCTGTTCCATGGCTAGAAGGTGGTGACACTTACCTGCTTCTTGACATTCTCAATCTCAGCCCGCAGCCTCTGGATCATCCTGTTGAGCTCTGAGATCTCACTCTTGGTGTTCTTCAGGCTGTCACCATGTTGGTCAACTGAGATCTGGAGCTGTTGGACCTAATATCCAGGAAAACACAGGGAATGAAGGGTCAGGGCTGTTTGGGTAGGGCCTACTCTCAAGTGAAGTCAGCAATAATAGGTGGCAGGGATAATACAAAATATCATGTAATCTCAAATTAGACCAGGACCAGTGATGCCCGGGACATGAGTTCATCTCTGACATCTCTCAGGCTTGAGTGGTGATCACCTGCTCACAAACATCAAAAGCAGAGTCCCAGAAACCACCCCCAGCTCCTGAGAGGTCCCCAATACCCACCTTGGTCTGGTACAGCGCCTCAGCCTCCGCCTTGCTCTTCTGGGCGATCTCCTCATACTGGGCACGGACCTCAGCGATGATGGTGTCTAGGTCCAGGTTCCGGTTGTTGTCCATGGACAGGACCACGGACGTGTCTGAAACATGAGTCTGCATCTGGCACAGCTCCTGCAGGGAAAATGTCTCGTGTCAGTTTCCCCAGAGAGTCTTCCCTAATCTCTGACACCAGAAATCCACTGTGGTGATGGAAATGGCCATGCCACAGACTCAGATGGAAGTAGGGTTGGCATCCCAATGTGTAGGGAGAGCGGTAAGTTTTTATGTAGAAATCAGGTGATTGGTGGTGACATTTCAAGACAAAAAAAGTAATGCTTCTGGTCTTTGCTGCTCTCTGGGAACCATAAGCAGGTGATCAATGAATGGATTCATTTCACCAGGGCAATGCTGGACAGCAAGACATTCCATCCCATGCAATCTTGGATCTAATCACTCCTCCTAAGACCACATCTGGTTTCAAAAACCTCCGAGTTGAGTCTCTCACTTCAATTCTTTCTACCCATGACCTTGCTGAGAGTGCCCTCAGCAAGTAAGGGAGCTGGAGTCCTTTCAAAGAACTGTGAATGCCTGCAGCAGCCTCACACATGAGGGACTGCCTTCTTTGAATGGACAGGGATGGAGTCCTCACCGCAGCAAAGAGGACCCTCAAGAAGTTGATCTCATCGTTCAGAGCATCCACCTTGGCCTCCAACTCCACCTTGGTCATGTACGCGATGTCCACATCCTGCAGAGGTGGGGGATAAGAGACAAAGGTACAGAAATCACAAGCGGGGCAAGGGAACGAATGTCAAGTGACACACAAAGATGTTCTCGGCAGCATGTAGGGAAAGCTTCTCAGTACAGGGGAGGTGACAAAGGACTCATCGTCTGACATACTCTGCCCCTAAAGCCAGCTGCAGAAATGGAAACTACTTATCCAAATGGGCTTTTATCCCCAACTTCAGTTCCTTAGGGTCTGGTGCAGTTACCCACTCCTTTGACCACATAGATCTGGAGAGTACCAAGTGGGGTAAAGATGAGGCCGAGATGAACCAAACCCATGATTCCAGCCAAAGACCACTCTCGAGGGAAGGGATACCCTCATAGCCCCTCCCCCCCTCCATCTCTTACCTTCTTGAGGACCACAAAGTCATTCTCGGCAGTCGTCCGCTTACTGATCTCATCCTCATACCTGGGGGGAGGGGTGGGAAGGAAAAGACAAAAGCCGCACAGTGAGCTAGTGTTTCCCGGATCTCTGCTGCTGGCTTTCAAACATCTAACTCTTTGGAAATATCCAAGTAATTGGCTGCATTTTGCTGTTTTCATGCAAATGCTCATTCAACTTACATTTGTTAATTACCATGTACGAGAGACCAGCCTAGACCCTGGTTTATTCAGAGAAGTGAAAAATCAAACTTTATAAAGACTGTCTTCAAGGGGCGCCTGGGTGGCGCAGTCGGTTAAGCGTCCGACTTCAGCCAGGTCACGATCTCG